AAATGGATCTGACATTTCGATTACTCTGTGTGTGTGTTTAACCTCACAGTGTGCTGGTTTATAATTTCAATACCCAGATTAAACTGAATTTTGCAGCTAAGGGCTTTTATAGGGTCTTTGGGCTATGTGAACGCATGCATTATATCTATTTCTCTGGGTTTCATCTGGCATTAACCTGAGTGATTGTTATGAAGAGCCTGTCACTACCTTCATCATTTGTGTTATGGTTTAATCTGTGCATGGTGTTTTAAATACATCATTATAAACATCTGTAAGACAGATGCACTAATGCATTGTTGTTTGAGCGGAAACACTATCAAAGTGTTCAGTTAGTTTAGCACAAGAGTTGCATATGAAATGGAGATTCTGATCTACAGTTTGAATGATGCCTCCTGTTTTTGCGGGAGTATTTTTATATTCAGCCTGGGTTTAAGATGCATCTGTGGGTTAATTAATATGGACGTGGCTTTTCTGGCTTTTTCCATTGGTCTCTAAGTCAATTACAGGGAGACAAAAACACTAGACCCAAGCTTTGTTATTAAATTACATCAAACATGCTCCCCAGAGAGTATAATTCACAGGGTACTAAAAGGCTTGAGTGAAGTACAACATGAACAAATTAGTTTGTTTTGTACTTATCTTGTAACGGGACAGCTAGAAGGGAAAAGAGAGATTACGCTGCGGTTGTGTATTGTCCTTCATGCAGGTTTAATGTGCTTAACTTGGGTTTTAGTTTTTACTCCTGCTGAATCATATTGTGGAAAAAATATAATAATTTATAGTCAGTGTAGCTACACTTGTTTGTTTTTGTTTTACCAAAGAGTCAGGGTCTCAATTCAGATGTAAAAGTAACCAAGTTGTTCTCTTAATGCATCATTTTGTCCATTTAGTCTGCTACTTTTTGTGCACAGAAGAACTGAAGAAAACGGATGGATTTTTCTGGATTTGGGGGGGTTGAGGAGGCGAGAAGAGACTCTTTGATTCGGAAAAAGTCCTCCGACCATTGATCTCTGGTGACCAAAGACAAAAAGAGTGGATTAGGAATTTAGGTTCCTATTCTTTCCACACATCCAATAATTCAGTAATGATTATTATTATTATTATTATTATTATTATTATTATTATTATTATTATTATTATCATCACACAATAAAATCTGACTGGACTGACTAGACTACTGAAAACACACAAACCAGAGTAATGGAAGCAAAACTGGAAAAAATTTAACTTGTGAGAGATGAACGCATGCAAGGATGCATCAAAACATCAGAGCCATGCACAAACTCATGAGATGAACCTTTTTTGGATCGTTTTGTTGCAATTCACCCAGTGCTCAATGCAGTGAATACTGTGATACTCCATAGTCTGACACAGTTTGTGAGTTTAACTTTCTTTTTGAGCCATGTTACACACTGTGACATTTAAAATGGTTGCATTGTCATTGTTTGTGGTGCAGCTCTGAAGAATCTTTAGATAAGAGCATAAAAGCGGTACACGCAACAGATATTTGCTGACTTAGTGGTGATGCTCATTATGGCGAGAAACTGCTAGATTTTGTAGATATACAGACGACTGTGTATCTAATAGCAGCTCCAATGTGGGAACAGTTAGTCGCCATGTCAAGAAATAACCTGGCACACAGAGCACTACAAATTTTGTTGGTAACTGTAATTTAGCTTTTTTTGTAATGCTATTATGCAGGCCAACTCATGACATGCCTGCCTCTGTTGTTATTGACCCATAACATATAAAAAATGTAAAACCCTATCATTTCAAGTGGGGATTATCTCTGACTTTCAAATTGCACTGCCCTTGTTTCTCCTCCAGAAGCAGCAGATTGATAAGGGGCCACACTAGATTACTAACCTTTTTTTTTCTTTTTTTTTTCTTTTTTTTTCTCTTCATGTGAGCCATGTGGCTTAAATGTTATCATCAAGATACAGCGTTTCTGAGAGCAACCAGGGGTAGGCAGAGACATTTATCCTCTCAGTGGTTGCTGATTCGTGGACTACTGAGCTATCATCTCCTGGAAGGTGATTTCACTAACTGAATTTCCTCTCTGGGGTTTCCTGTGGTGAAAGCAATTGTGATGTTGCTATGTGAAAGCAACACTTAGTTTCTAAGGAAACGCGAAAGAAATAGTGCATAGGCCTCATTTGCAACACCACAGGCAAATTTTGTAGTCACGTAGTGGTGGCTGCAGTCTTCTTCTTTTTTTTTTTTTTTAAGTGCTTTAAGCAAAACTCTTTGTTAGGTATATAGTAAACACTTCCTAATGAAGTACAACAACTTCCTCTATGTGTGTGTGTGTGTTGTGTGTGTGTGTGTGTGTGTGTGTGTGTGTGTGTGTGTTGTGTGTGTGTGTGTGTGTGTGTGTGTGTGTGTGTGTGTGTGTGTGTGTGTGTTTGTGTGATGTGTGTGTGTGTTAGTTTCAATTTTTTAAAAAAAAAAAAACAACTTCTCACATTTGGAAGTCTTGCATTCAGACAGCAACGGAAATTTGTCAGCCACTTGCCAAAATCTCAGAAAATAGCAGAAGGAATAGGTGAAAACCTGTCATGATCCAGTGCCTCATGACTACATCTGGGTCTTTGTTCATTTCCGTGCTGGTCTGACTGTCAACCACAAAGATGTTTCACTTGTATTCTTCAGAACAACAGCCAAATGTTCCCATCACGACTTGAAAGGCTCTTCCTGTTTTGTTTCACTCCTTGTCTAGCTTAAATGAGCCTGTTTATATCGCATTAAAATGGAGAAGAGGGTATAGGTAGTAAACGCCACCTAGCAAATCTGTGAGCCATTTCCTTTATGCGAAGAATAAACTGTGATGTGAATGAGGCTCATGTGTTGACTCCCTTCCTATGTGGGTGGTCAAGGCAGGAAGCAGGCCTGATGCATTTGCTCTCAGCACAAGCAAAGACATACACAGCTTAGTCACAGTTTCCATGTTTTTTTTGTTTTTTTTTGTTTTGTTTTTGTTAAGTGGCTGCTTTTGGCATGCAAACAACATCATCCTGGTAGCAGAAATATTTTTAATGCCCCAAGAGAAGGAAGCAGAATTAGCAGGGATGTTTTCATTTCATTTTGATGGTAATTCGAAACTGCATTTCTTGTGCGCAGCAGTAGTTAAACTTAAACTCGGATCTGGTTTGTCGCAGTACAGCTCTCCACACTCAGGTCTAATAATACCGCAGATCACAGGACAGACTGTCGGGGGGATATTTGTCTCCTAAATTGAGCTTTGAGTCTTCATTATCTCCCTGCAGTCTGAGTCATAGTGCCAGACTTTCACCCCGCTGACAATGCTCTAATGAGGATTTTTAGATCAAGCTTCAAGCTGCCCACTATAAGACTGGGACAGAACCACTGTTTTCCATTGTCAGGTGTGTATGTTATGCCGTGAGTTTGATAGGGCTGAGCCATGTGAGCATAACGAACACAGTCGCTGTGTGCTGCCACCAATAGCATTGTGGTTTTTAACTGACTTGATCTTTCATGACAGCTGAATTGCTTCTGTGTTTGCCGTCATGCTCCACAGTGTACCTACTGGATAGGACCGCTGAAAACGAAGAGAATACTGTGGAAGATTTGCTGTCGTTCTATTTTGATACGTTTTGAAATTGAATATCTTCGAGTAGCTGCCCAGAAAAAGTAGGACAATTGAAGGTGTCACTTTTAGGCTCTTAGAACTTGAGCCTTTTGTACTATATTCAGACCTTTTATGAGCTAAATATTAAACCAGTTTCCATCCATCTGTTTTCTTAACTGCTTCTCCAAGTAGGCTGGAGTTCATCCCAGCTATCATAGGGTGAGTGGTGAGGCCACTACTCATTTGATAAACAAACAAGTAGAGTACAGGGAATCAAGTGCCCTCGTTAGGTGTTGTTTGTACTGTATTCTGATTTTCCTAAATCTTGCTCCTCTGTAAGAACACCCTCCATCTTACAAAGACTAAAACTAACTGTGTAGCTACTTAAAAATAAGTTAAATCTAAAGATTTTTAATGAATACAAACTCAGATGAGCAAATTAAATTAATTAAAACTGCTTGATGCTTTCTCATACTATATGTCTGTTTACCATAAATGTTTAACACTACCCAGAACATATTAACAAGACTTTGAGGAAAAACAAAAAAGCATTTAGGTTACTTTAGATATTTTTTCCCAGTATAAAAATATATCCTAGAGTACTGGATGTGTAGAAATCAAACATTAAACTTTATCAATGTTTCTTTGCAGGAATCCTCTTCTCTACACTGGTGTTCGGACCTGCCTGTGGCTTCATCCTTGGATCGCTGTGCACTAAATTCTATGTGGACGCCATCTTCATTGACACCAGTGAGTTGAATGTGTCCCTACTCTGTGATCCTCTCGTGTGTTCTTTTTTTGGCATGTGCAGTTTATTGACCGACACCATGCCTCCCCGCAGGTAAACTGAACATCACTCCAGAAGACCCGCGGTGGATCGGGGCCTGGTGGGCAGGCTTCCTCCTGTGTGGTGCCTTACTCTTCTGCTCTGCTGTCTTGATGTTTGGCTTCCCTCAGTCGCTGCCAGCAAGGGAGCGGGAGGAGGGAGCAGATAGCGAGCAGGTTATGCTTCCTCCCTCTCTGAGCTCAGACTGTGAGACTCCTAAGCCCAGCAACGGAGTCGTAGTTAACCATGAGCCTGCCAATAGCCCCACCTGCTGTCAGCAACTCAGGGGTGAGCATGCAGCATCCAGTGTGGTACTGCAGGTTTTTTTTGGTTGTTGGTGTTGTTTTTTTAATGCAAGCATGTATGGAACAAAAACACACAACATTTTATATTTTTATTTGTTGTATTTGCCAAATGCGATGAAGTACTGACAAAACAGAAGTGCTACAGTCCTTTTTAAATAAAACCTGTTAGTGTAAATGGTACTAGATTAGTTATAATATCATCCTTTGTAGTATTATGTGTTGTTAAAGATAACCTATGATATTTTTTTCTTATTTTTTACTGTTATAGTGACAAGTGCTCATGTTAAACATGGTCAGATGGTGAGGTCAACATATACGTATATAATCCCAGTAAACCAAAAGCTCAGTTTCAGACTGTGCTAAATGCTGGTTCAGACATCTATCATTAGTATAGTCATCTCAGCTAATGTTCAAACTTGCTGTTTTCAAGGGCCAGCCAATCAGAATAAAGCTGACTCAAAGAAAAGGAGGCTTGTATGAGACAAAGGATAAACTTAGGAGCTGCTTCAAGGCCCACTATATAACACATAAGAATTGAACTGTAAATCTACTCTAGCTACTGGAGTCTAGACTAGGTCCCCACATCGCACCATTGCAAGTTGTACTTGTATATATATTTTAATTAACAACAAGTTTGTAAAATATCTGTCTCATTAAGGGGAAATACATTGAAAGAGTATGCAACTTTTAAAAGTAAAATGAACTACTAGAAGAACTTGAACACTAGTTTTGGATTAGTAGAGTTTTTTCAGCGTTTTGATGGTCACTGTAGTGGCTATATTAATTTCTTAAAGTTCTCTCTTATATTTAATATAACCACACTACGGACGGACAACCGCCTGTTGTTATGCGGTTGTCGTTAGCAACAACGACGGTAAAACCATTGCGTGTCTGCTTGTTTATTTTCCACATAAACCTTTCACAATAAAGCTCAAGACCCTGTTGAGACTTTTCAAAATAAACTGAATCACGTGAAAGAGCAGATTATTTACGGATGAGAAGTAAAAAAAAGAGCCGCCAGGTGCTAAAAAATAAACCTTAAACTCAAACGTTAGAGCAGGCTTTTCCCCGCAGCACACCGTGTAATAAATACAAACAAAGCAAACAGCGGCCGTTACAACTTATGTCTAAAAATGTATAGTTTCATGCATCGGTTAAAACACTCAACTGCAGGTACACGACGCCCAGCTGGAAACACTTCATGCAAGCTGCCCGAGATTCACAGAACTTTCAGAAAATGTAAATTTTTGTGATTTATATCGTTATCGGGACGATAGATGTCTTATATCGGGATATGAGATTTTGGTCATATCGCACAGCCCTAACCTCAATGCTTATCTTTCCTCTTTCCTTTTATGTCCAGTGATCCCCACGGTTACCAAGCAACTCCTGTCGAACCCTGTGTTCACCTGTATCGTCCTGGCGGCCTGTATGGAGATCGCCGTCGTAGCCGGCTTTGCAGCCTTTCTGGGGAAATATCTTGAGCAGCAGTTCAACCTCACCACCACCTCTGCAAATCAGTTGTTAGGTTTGTATTCTGTGCAAAAAGTCGCACGTATGCACACTTTTTTCTTTTTTTTCTTCTGCAGAGGAGCATAATAAACAGATTTGGGCCCATCTTGTGTTTAAGGTATGACAGCTATTCCATGTGCGTGTCTGGGGATCTTCATGGGTGGTCTGCTGGTGAAGAAGCTGAATCTATCAGCGCTGGGAGCAATCCGAATGGCCATGCTGGTCAACCTGCTGTCCACCGCCTGCTACGTCTCCTTTCTGTTCCTTGGCTGTGATACGGGTCCCGTCGCAGGAGTGACCATCCCGTATGGCAACATGTAAGAAAAAATATTTAATATTATCACTTGTTACATCCTCTGCTTAAAAGCATCAACGAAAAGTGGAAACTGACACCGGAGTTTGTAGAAGACACTGGTTTTAAATTACTTAATAACCACAACTAAAAGGCTAAAAGTGGCATATTCCTCACGCCAACCTCAGCCGTGCCTTGATCCAAGGCGAGTAGGGGCTGCAGACTAATGTAACACAATAAATAAAGCAGTTGAAGTAGCTGTCAGCCAAGATCATGTGAAGAGGTGCAAGTTGAGATTATCTTTTATGTGTGAAAGAGGGACGAGTTAGAGCGCTGTTGCTCAGTGTGGCATTCTGATCTTCAGGCTTCTGGCCTATGTTTACTTCCTGGATAACCCCTTTTTAAAACTACCTGTGGTTACATAAAGTTTGGGAAGCCATCCTTTTTGATATCCAATTAAGTAAGCAGAGACTATTTGAAAGAATTGAACTCAATGTGTTGAAGCGCAAAGTTTGGGTAATAAACTATTTGATGATTAGACTCAGATGAAGCTACATAGCAGAGCACTCCCACCAGTGGTGGGAAATAGGACAGGACCACCCTGGAGTCTAGACGCTGCTGGTGGTGATGGAGATAAAGCAGATGGACTCGGACGAGGGTATCTGAGCGAACAAAATGAAATGGAGATGTAGTGGAGGCGGGCCACAGTGAGCACCGAGATTTAAAGCACAGGGAACAGAGGCTGATTGACTCGCTGAATAAGGAAATAAAGTTACTGGACCAGAGATAATGATGAAAGAAGTGATCTAACAACAGACTAGCAGCCCAAGCATGCAGGAATGCAGGGAAACGAGTTAATACTAGGTCTTCCTCGTTGAACTCGCATAGAAGCTTCATTCACACGTCGCCAGAAACTGTGTCCTTAATGTAAGATGAGATGAACTCATCAGTGGAGGAACGGCAGATATCTAATGATATATTTCTGTTGTCCTCACTTCAGCGTGTTTTCATGTCATAGGTTAAGGAGGAACGAAATGCACTGTTAGCATTTCAAACCCAGTTTATCGAACGAGAATACAAGCAGTTAACAAACTCTAGCAGTGAAAAGCGGTGCTGCTGCTAAGGCTGGAGGACTTTTTTGCAGGTGAACTGTAGGGACTATAAATGTGTAAATAAAAATTCTTATCACTGCTGGACTTTGGGGCAAAGATGGGACAGAAGGCTTTTTATTCAAACAACTTTGTGTCATTTTGTCGAGTCTATAAAAAGATTTTCTGTTTGGAAAGTGGCCTCGAGGGCTGCATGAACTGAATATGAATGTGACAGACTTCACTGAATCAGACACCAATAAAAAGAGGTTTAAAGCAAAGCTATTATGCAGCAGGACACACTATTCACTTTCATATTGATAAACCTTTCAAGTGAAGCTGTGTTGTTAGAAGGGACTTTGTATTTATTATGTTGTTTGTCATAAATTAGCATGAATCACTGTCTCATGCGCACACTTTTTAACTTAAATTCTTTACTTCAAAGGTAAAAAGACAGTTTGTTTTTATAAAACCTAAAGAAGTACATGAGGATAAACTCGTAATTTTACTCCACAAAGCAAATTATATGATAATATAACAAATATGGTGTTTGGCTTCTTCCTTCTAATAGAAACAAACATCTCAAATCAGAACAGACACATTGCATTCCTCTTCACCTTGTGCATGTATCTTGAATCCAAGGATATCAGCCTGTGGATTAATTCGTGATATCAAGATTGCTCCCTTTTCTCATCTCATGTTTTGTAACTATTTGTGACGGCATGAAGTAAAATGCCCCCATTTTGACCTGTATCTGAATAGTACTGTTAAAAAATCAGTGAGTGAGGCAGAGCTACACCTAGGCATACACCCCACAGATCATCTGACGTGGACACACACAGTATGTGGAATTGTAGGTGGTTATTGCTCTGTTAACCCCCCAGCAGGGCTGGGTCTAACACCTTTTTTTTTCCCTCTCTGGTAGAAATCTAGCTTTACTGCGAGTGCTCCTTTGTTTTGTTTTTCACAATCCAAAGTCTCCTTTTTCTTTTTGTATTGGATTTGAATTTAGAGGGAATAATCAATGATAGCCTCTCAGAATGATAAGGAGTCCTTTAAAAAAAAAAATGCCTGTATTCAGATCTAGATAGCCTCCATATGTAATCGCTTCGATCTTGCACCAAGCCTGACAGTTTTCATGCAGATCTACCCTTAACTTCTTAGTAATCTTGCCAGTGGCATCTTCAATTGTACTACCTGCCACAGAACAAAGACCTTATTTATCATCTTAGTAACTCTGTCACTTCTTACTGGGGTGCATCACCATAGTAAGGTTAGAGATCAACCTACTGACCAATCACAGTGTCACCACAGCTGGGAAAAGCCTCTGACTTCTGCACAGATAGTAAAAGGGTTTTACTTTTTAATGTCTAATTTCTGATGCAATACACAGATGACCATTAAGAATTATAAATTCTAAGTTTATTCCTTCATTGTTTTTTCCCTATTACATTAAATTTGCACATAGTCTAAACCTACATTTGAATTCTGTTTTTAATGTGTTCCTTACTTGCTCTCAGATTCTCCTGTGTCCTAATACACAGGATACAGCTGTGATATTGATGATTCTGTTTACTGTCAGTGCAGTCAGCGTTTTGCTGGTTTTCTTTCCTGGCTTCAAATAAGCTAAATTTTATTATTATAGCAGCTCTTTTCCAGTCTTATTGACCAAAGCACTTAAAGTGCCCCTGCATTCATTCAGGCCTTTTAATACTAAACTGCTGTGCAACGCTTCTCCTCACACACCGCTGCTTAGTCAGCAGCAGAAATGATGCTTTCAGTCTGTATTGTGTGTTTAGCCTCTTTATATTTTTCCCCATACTTTCCTCATAATTTTATCTTCCTTGGCAAAGTCACCTGCTCTGGTGCCAGTATACTTATCTAAACTTTTAATTTTGATTGTTGCGCCAACATCAAGCCTTTCAGGTGAATGTGCGATTGAGAAACCCTGGGTAACCTTGGTGAGTTGGTTAGCAGCTTCTTGTGGCTGCTTATCGTGATTTTTGATGTTTGGGTAAATGAATTCAGATAATTAACAGATATCAGAAGTATGCTGAACTCGCTTCATAGTGCAAAGCCCAGGTAAAAAAAATCTTCTGCCAGCTTTCACTGCTCCACTGTTTTCAATGCTTTAATCTTGTTATTGTACCACAGCTAAACCTGCAACAGCAGCAAATATTTGTATAATCAGTCAATCATCATATTTTTGTTAAAAATTGTTACTTTTGGTTGCTGTGTCTCATTTAAGTCTTTAAGCCTGTTTAAGTCAGGTAATCAATACATTACATTTAGCCCTAGTGAAGCTAATTATTAGTTACAAATGATGATGGTGTTTATTGAACGGATGTTAATGTAAGTGTGCGATATAAACAGGGGGCAGGAAGTAGATTAAGAGGAGGATAATTGATCTGTCACACAGGGGCTGTTTTTGAGGAGGGGGAGATTTTACACTCACGCACACACATATGCAGAAATCCAGCTGTGTTTTGCACACAGATGTGTCGAGGTTCCTCGAGAACAGCGTACCTGTTTGGATCACTTTGAGACCGATAGCACTGTATTCTGCGGGGATTTTGGCATTGAGCTCTTTCTCTATCTTTTTATCATTGTGCTAGTAAAAGATATTCATGTGTTCAGATGAATATTAAACACCTCCTTTTATTTGCAGCGCACTTTGAGACCTCTATGAGTCCAAGGTTGCTTCTTTTTCAGTTAAAATAAAAGCATTCAGGCTCAGTCTTCAGCCTCGGTGTTGCTTTTATCTCTTTAATAAAGTGTGAACTCAGTGATTTAGTCTGTGTGCTCATCCTGTAGAAATACTGAATGTTTGAGCTGCTTTTGAAATTGGTGGCCTAAAACCAACTTGTTCCAGAGCGGGTTAGGAGAGCTGCGTCGTTTCCATGGAGATGTTAAAAGTGAAACAGTGTCCATAATATCTGATAAAGGGCTCCTTAGTTTTACAGATGTAACTTACAGCTGTTTCTCTCTGTTTAGGACCCTGCAGGCGAGCAGGAAACCAGAAGCTCAGTGCAACAGTCAATGCAGCTGCTTCACCTCCTCCATCAGCCCTGTGTGCGGCTCCAACGGCATCACCTACCTGTCCGCCTGCCTCGCCGGCTGCAGCCGAACTGGGATCCCCGCATCCAACATTTCTCAGGTTTTCATTTTGCTTTTGCCCTCTGATTATGATGAGTACCAGCAAGGTTGATGAGGACTGTAGCACAGAAAAGCCACCAGAAACCTTTATAGTGTTCACAGATATGAAGTCCCAGTATTTCACAGCTCTGTCATCAGCATGCACATGCTGGGCAGTCAGGTGGTATACACGTGCTTGTTTCAAGATCAGATGCTGACTGCAGATAATGTCTTCTATATTCAAATCACATCAGCTCAGCAGCACAAAATATCACCACTTCACTGCTGCTGAATTTTTTTTTTTTTTGCTTTTCTTTTTTCAGTTTTTAAGTGCTCCTAAAACAAACACACATTGCTCATTTCTACTGAGGATTTTGATCCAGATGTGAGGAGCAGGTGTAGCATGTGTGTTCCTGCAGGATGAATGGCTTGTTGTTGTACAAACGTCTCTCTCTCTTTCTGTTGACAGAATCTGACCGGCTGCTCCTGTATATCCAACGACAGCGAAAGTGCCACGGCGGTTCCCGGGAAATGCCCAATGTCGGGATGCCAGCAGTCTTTCCTCATCTTCCTGTGCGTGATTTGTGTCTGCAGCCTGGTCGGAGCCATGGCCCAGACTCCCTCTGTCATCATCCTAATCAGGTATCGTTGTGGTTTTATTTTATTTTGTGAAGAGACTCTCAATGCTTTAATTTGAAAAATAAAACTTTTTCTGTTCTGTCTGTTTCTCTTGAAGGACTGTGAGCCCTGAGCTGAAATCATACGCGCTCGGTGTGCTGTTCCTTCTGCTGCGACTCCTCGGTAGGAACCGTTTCCAGATAACACATCACTTTCACATACAATCGCTCAGTCTCATTTCTCTCACTCGCAGCACAAATCCTGTTGAGGCTGCAAGCGTGTGGCGTTTTACCAATGCCTCCAGTGACGCACTCTGTTGATGACGGCAACCCGTCAATCGCTGATGCGCGGCTGCATCGACTTTACGTGTTTTCAGATGGAAAGCAAATAAATCAGATCACGAGAATGTAAAAACAACCTCACGTTCAGGAGGCAAGAGAAGAAATGGAACATAAGAGAGACAAAATGTGATTTTTAAATCATTTCAGTGCGTACGGAGTGATAGTTTGAAGATTTATGATTCTCCTCTCACAGCCAGCAAACCTTAGCTCAGTGCATGTTTCTCTCTTGCAGGATTCATTCCCCCTCCTCTGATTTTTGGTGCTGGGATCGACTCCACTTGCCTTTTCTGGAGTTCGGACTGCGACAAGAAGGGTGCCTGCCTGTTGTACGACAACGCGAATTACAGGCATCTCTACGTGAGCCTGGCCATCGTTCTCAAGGGTGTCGCCTTCCTCCTTTACACCACCACGTGGTATTGCTTGCGGCGGAACTACAGGAAATACATCAAAAGTCACGAGGGCCACTTGACGCCAACTGAGTTTTACCCGTCCCTCACCGACGGCCCCAAAGTCGTCGACAGGACGAAGTTTATATACAACCTCGAGGACCACGAGTTTTGTGAAAATATGGAGTCGGTTTTATAATTTGTAAAGCAAAAAAAGGACAATATGGACATTTAAATGACTATTTTAGGAATGTAGTTTTTTCTTCTTTGTTAAATTCAAGAGGTTTTGATAAAGGCGATCTATTTTACGGCCCGTTGAGGTCCTGGTGGCTCTCGACTGCGCTACACGTCCTCGATAAAATCAAAAGGGTCCACTGTAGTTGTTTACGTCTGAGCGAGGTGTTGTCAGGTGTTGCCAGTGAGTTCCCGTGTTGACTCTGTGGTAGAAGACGAGCGCAGTACCGTCCCACTCAGTCCTAGTCTGTTATTAGTGAGTGGACATGATGCTACTACAAACTATAGTTGCCATATTGTTTTAGGTCCGTCACGAATCCAGTGACAGTTTCCTTTCAGTCAGCACTGTGTGTTTTTGTTCCGTCACTCTTCAAAATGACAGTTTTATGGTTAAAAAAAGAAAAGTTTGGTTTGTTTTTCAGTTATTCATATTTATAAAAGTTGCCAAGTGTTTACAAACTACTAGTTGATGCGTTTTAATTTCACTGCAGGAAATTTTCCTATTAAAAAATTAAAAAAAGAGAGAACAGAAACACCCTCACTGGGTTATTTTAGTGGCCTGTTGGATCTTTTAACTGCTCAGTTTCCTGTTCTCTTGCTGGATCATAGACACTGTTTTTTGATACTTCTTAGACTAGACGTTGAGGTCTTGTCTTATAGGTTGAAATGTGCAATGTTTCTTCATGATAGCATTTCCATGTTGTTTTTACTTCTTTTCAGCCTAATATGTCTTAATAAGGGATAGTTTGAATAAGAACGTTCTATATGTTTTCTTTTGGCTTTTGCACCCAGTGTCAAAGCAAAGGAAATCAAAAGTAGTATTTTTATGTTGTTCATCCTTCAAGTGGAAGGTTTGTTTTCATTTGGCCCAGAATGTTTTTATTAGATTGTTTTCGAGTATAAATTATATGTAATCTAATTGTCTGGGATGTGTGTGTGTCTGATGCTACAAAAGATCTGGGACAATTCACATCTATGTTGTGTTGCCTGTGTCTTCAAACTAGGCCTGTAATAAGATACAGAGGTTACAGATGTGCTAAAGGAGACTGTGTGTACAAGGTTAAATAAAGTTAAAGGGCACTGAATTCATATCCAGGTGTGACTCACTGCACATGTGACCTGTTACTCATCTGAGCTCTCTGCAATTATAGTTTGTCCCTTTTCTTACACTTTTTGTATGGCAGCATATTGTTTATTTTACTCTGGAAATAAATTATTTTTCAGAAAATTCATACAAATTTGAGTTCTTTTCTTTTCTTTTGAGTTCTGTTTGTGTGTAAGTGGCTCCATAGTGTAGTCGTTTACACATTCGCCTAACAAGTCAAAGCTTGCCAGTTTGGTCCCAGGAGGAGGCACGAGTCCCTTGGGGTTTGCATCAGGAGGGACATCAGGTGTGAAAATCTGCCAAATCAAATATGCAGAGCCATCCTGTGGTGGCCCCTTGTGAATAAGGGAGCAGGCAAAATAAGTTTTATTTTGCATGTGTGTAGAGCTGAGTTGTTCAATGTTTTTATAAACAACCACTGTTTCTGCTGGCTAGCAGGGGGAGACTCAAGGGGCAAATTGTCACAAAGTATGGAGGAGTGTCTACAGCCATCTGTAAAATATGGTGGAGGCTGGGTCATGGTTTGGGGCTGCATTTCAGCCAGTGGTGTTGCGGTCAAAGTTGATAGAATTATATTGGTCATATTTTCATCCACAATGCAATACAACCTGTAAAGTGTTGTGGTCTTAACTCAAAAGAAGTAATGTATTATAGCGATGTGGAGTACTCCAGATTTTGGTATCGATCTGATACCGAGTAAATACAACACCGATGCCTTTAATGATACTTTTAACCTTTAAAGGCAGCTTAGGTCAGAGAGAGCAGTGTGTCGTGATTCATGAGATGAATCAATTTGCTAAACCTGGATACATTTTAATGGCCACTAAATCACTGTTTTTATGCAATAATTAGCTAACATAACGAAATGCATCTTTTAACTTTTCATGTATTTTAAAACTGGATTTTCTGGAGACCTGGAATGCCCACCCTCCAACAGGTCTCGTCAGATGTCTGCCCCTCCCTGCACCAGGTCCTGCCAGAGGTTTCTTCCTGTTAAAAGGGAGTTTTTCCTTTCCACTGTCGCCAAAGTGCTTGCTCATAGGGGGTCGTCTGATTGTTGGGGTTTCTCTGTATTATTGTAGGGGTATTTACCTTACAATATTAAGCGCCCATATGGGTGGCTGTTGTGTAAGTAAAATTAAAATCAATTTAGTTTAATTTAAACATGTCTGTCTCTAAGGCACTTTGGATCAACTTCTGTTGTTCAAATGTGCTATAAGTAAAACTGACATGAGAGTTGATACAAAACGATTCAGACATTTTTCATAGTCTGTGTTTAATGCAATTTTTTTTTTTCATTTCTGAAAAACATAATTTATATAACATGATTATATTACGTTAAATAATATAATGCATATTTACAGGATAGAGCAAAGTATCTATCCGATAACAATACCAGCATCGGTATCAATACTATCAATATTTGGATTGATCTGCCCACCTCTGATATATTACACATTACTCATTACTTTTTTTTTTTCAAGTAATGCTGTATTTTACTTAATTAGAAAGTGGATGAAGTAATTTGTTACACTACTCGGTACTTAACTTTGTTCAAATGGCCAACAATATAAAGCTGAGGCAGTTCCACACACCAACACATAACTTATTCTATTTAGAACACAGATGCAATATTTTAGTATTTATTTATGAACAGAAAATTGACAACTTGAAGCAAAGCTGAAAACGAGCACAGAGAGACTTCAAAGCGATTGCCACAGTCAACTTTAGAAACGTGAACAAGTACAAACGGAAGCTACAAGGCTGACTGCTCATCACTGCCTTTGTTGTCTGCTGAAGTTCAGGCTCTGGCTGCTAGCATGCATTCAGCTTTAATGTCACTTTGGGGTTTTGGCATGCTGTCTGTGCAGATACTTGGAAAGAGCTGAAGATGTGTTATCAGCAGAATGCGATTGATTCTATCCTGGATGTAGTTTCAGCTTTACCATCGTACTCTTGTCCTTTCATAAAATAAACAGTAATGTCCATATCTGGACTGCAGGCTGCTCCACCGCGGTCCTCCTCCCACAAGTAACGACACAATTGCAACGGTAATTTATTAATGAATTTAGTGCAGTAACTGCACCACTGAAAAATATAATGTGACTCAATGCTGTTGGCCACAACTTCATTTTTCAGCATGACAATGATCCCAAACAAAGTGCCAATGCAGTAATAGCATAGCAGGACAGAAAAACATGCAGGAGTCGCAAGAGTTCAGGCTGTACTGGTCAAACAAAATATTGATTTTCAAACTTTTTAGAATTGTACAAACTCTGTTTTTGCCCTGTATACTGTATTTCTATTCATGTTTGCACATATTTCAATAAATTGCTGCACTTATTTACCACACTGGCTCAGATGTCACCTGGCTTAATGAGGTCTAGAAGCAGGCTACTGGAACAAGATATGCAAGGACCAAGAACATGGAATTGTTGGAGTGTGTGTGTGTGTGTGTGTGTGTAATCACGGTTCTATTTTTCAGATAGGCTTTTTAAAGATTCTAATATAAGTGTTGAGGCACTGTTAAAATAAAAGCTCCAGCTCAGCTGCCAGTTTGTATTCACGGCTCAGCACATATTCCCAATATTGTACCAAGTCCTCGCCCAGCGAGATGCTTTATATAGACACGAGAAATTAATGGTACCACATGAGGACAGAGACTTTCCATATTTTGATTTGCACAGTGGATTGGAGGCTTAGTTTAGCCGTTAGACTTTAGCTCTCACAGTTTGAGTACCGCAGAACCACTGAGAGTTTGTAAAATATGCTTCTAGATATTATGTAAATCAATACATGTTTCTGCAAAAATAATTTTAACAAGTGCTACTTAATATTTTTACTGTATAAAAACAATAAATAAATCAAAGAACAATTTTACCTTTTGAAGTCAAATAAGCATGAATGTTACATGAGGATGTATATAAGGCTCTCTAATAGCAAATGCTGCTGAGGGAAGGACAAAGTGTGCAATGAGAATTTTCTTTTTCTTTTGTATAATAAAGGCTTTCAAAAGCAGCACAATTCAAAGTTCTTCACTTCATCACATTAATAGACGTGAGAGTTCAATCAGACCTCACGTTTTCTAAGACTTTCATTCCTGATATATGACATATGAAAAGTGAAGTAGATTCAGTCCCTTATAAACCAACAAAAGAATATAAAAGTCACTTTATTGACACACAGGGAGCTGGTACAAGATGACTGATGTGGTCCTCTCTCCTGGGTTTTTTAAGAAACACTTGAATAATAGCTTTCCTGGATTTCTGGACGTAGCACACGAGTCCTTGTGTTCTTGACATCATGTAACTCTCAAATGTCCAACCTTGAGCTAAAATGACTGAGCAGAGCTATATATATATATATATTCACTTTCATAGGTACAGCTGTTTAACTCAAATATTAAATCGTCCAATCATCTGACAGTAATCCATGGAATTTCAGCAAGCAAACATGATCAGGTTAACTTTCGGAAGTTCAAACCGAGAGAAGAAAAATTATTTAAGTGACTTTGAATGTGGCATGGTTGTTGTGGCAAAGTTTACAGAAAATGGTCTGAAAAAGAGAAAATATTCAGTGAGGATCAGTTGTCTGGGTGAAAATGCCTGGTTGATGTCAGGGGAGAGTGGCAAGACTGCTTCGAGCTAATAGGAAGGCAACAGAAAATCAACCAAGCTATGCAGAAAAGCAGCAGATGGGCTACAACAGCATCAGAAGACCACACCGGCTGAAGAACAGAAGAGCATCTCTGATCAATAACCTGTCAATCTCGCTAAAATCAGCCTCGGTGAATCTATGTCACAAATTAAGACATTTCTCGTCCTTGTCATACCGCTGTGCTGATTTCTGTAAATAACTAAGGTAGAAAATACGGTAGTGAAATCCCATATGACAAATGTTGTAGCAACTTTATATTAACCCATGAAAACAGCATCGTAATGATTATGCCAGTTATCCTTTCTGGGCAAAAACAAACACACTGGAATTAATTCCTGTTTTCAGCCTTAACAAATATTTAAGGTGCAAGATTTAGTCCTACAGTTTGAGTGTCATTAAAATGTAACCAAATGAGAAATAAGAAGGAAATTTTGAAAAAGTGTCAATAATATACTTTACAGGCATCAACAAAAAAAACCCCTAACCCTGTCAGTCAGAAGCTGACCTGTAACAGGTGGGCATTACACTAAAAACAGTGTTGCAGAGCTGAAGCCTGTCTGCTAGTACTGTGGGATACTTATACTTTTGATATAGTTTAGATACCAAGTATCACCAATACCAGTACTAATACCGATACTTTTGACCTATAAAGGCTTACGTATCATGGTTTGAGATGAACCATCATCAATTTGCAACTCTGAATACATTTCACTAATTCACAGATTTGTATTTTTCACAATAATTAGTTGTATTAACCTAAATTTCAAAGTGTGCTTTGTTGTATTAACAAAAAACACTAAAAAATTTCACATATTTTAAAACTAATTTTTCTTTTTTAGTAAAATAATAGTAATTTAAAAAAAGGTTCAACACAATACTGAAGTAAGAGGCAATAATGTATCGATCCTATTGCATTAGTATATATCCAATATCTATACCAATACCAGCATTCTTATCGATATTATCTTTGGATCGAGCCCACCTCTGCTTTCTTCGGTTCAAAAAAGCCAAACATGATCTTATGGCAGCACGGTGGCATAATTATCTCTGTTGCCTCACACCAAGAAGGTCCTGAGTTTGCGTGTTCTCCACGTGTTTGCGTGGGTTCGGTTAATTGAGGTTAGGTTAATTGGTGATTCTAAATTACCCATAGGTGTGTATGTGACTGTGATGTCTGTGTTAGCCCTGCGTCAGCGTGCCTGGAGCCTCTCGCCCTGTGGTAGCTGGGATAGGCTCCAGTGCGCCACACAACCCTGCCAAGGATAAGCAGAAGAAAATAGATGAATGGATCTTATGACACATGTAAAGCATGTATAGAGGCATCAAGGTACTATTCCCTCATCTCCTTAGTCTTATCAAATTTAAGGAAATACAGTCTGCTGGAGCAGTTATCTTATGATATGTTATGTCACAGATCACACTGATCTTACATGCAAAATTAATGGCCTCCTCATATTTGTTGCTTCTGAAAACGACATCTCATAATTACAATGACACCTCAGCACTTGCAAATGTGGCTATAATGCGCTTTAAAAAATGAGGGCGCAGTGTATTTCTGCCTGTCTTTGAGCGAGTGTCGTTGTCAGGTGGTTGTAAAGTCTAATAATAGCTCAATGACACTCCTGAACAAGACACACACACACAGAAAGAAAGAGAAAAAGCTTGTGCATGACAGCAGCAGTATCAGTATCACTGCATCTGTCTCAACAGCCTCTGATATTCACCTCACTCCTGATACTCCTCACAACAAAGATGCACAAAATACAACAACTGCGATTCCCCGGGAAGGTGTCCTTGTTGAAAGGCAGAGCAAAAACAAAACAAAACAAAACAAAAAAAGCCAACGACAACAACAAGAATCCACCAGCAGGAAACAGACGCTGCTGCAGGCAAGAGTTTTCTCTCTTAGTCAAGAAGTGTCAATTAGCCTAATGGCTGCTTTAGTAAGACAAAGCGTTACACAACAGCTCGAGTGGAGAAAATAAAGCAGTAAATCCTCTCTGGGGTGCCTCGACTTGCATCCTTCTCAAATTGCTGATACACGTTCAGTGACTGTTAATCTGATAGAGTGACTGAATTCATCCTGCTCTCATTTGGATTTTCATCCCAGAGTGGAAATGCGACGTACATGTTCCACTAAACACACTGAGAGTGAAATGTGAATTAGCACTGGATGTAAAACCAGACATCATATGTGTAAATATCATTATGAGTCATTATGCACAATCTCAGGGCTCCAGCTGCACTTTTCAATTTATGTAAATTAGACCTTTATTCATGTCTGTGAATCGCAATCGTGTAGAAAATGTATGCCTGGAATATGAAAACAGATAGCACTTTCCCTTTAGATTTGCTTCGACTGCATAATCCCTAATTTACTTTCATTATATATCAACTAACTAACTAGCTAAAGACTGACTGAGGGCGAAAATGATGCTAATGATAGGAATTGTATAATGGAGGGGTAACACATTTTAATAAATGACTTTTAATTACAAAGGAATGAAGTATCGATGGCGACTATTCAAACGTCTGTACTTATGAAGAAACTCATCTGCTAAAGGAACGGCAAGAAAATAAAAAAGCAAACATGCTCAGTTAACATTTTGGGATAAACATAAATATATTCAAAGGAAAAATCTTGGCACAGCATAACAGTAATAAAGGGGTGCGTGAAAAGATTCATTTCTTTTCCAACATCAGCACTCTAATTATTTTATCCCTGAAAAGTGCTGGAATTCCCTGAGCAAAGCAAAATAATTGAGAAAATTTTAAAAATGTGTTTGGAAATCACAGAACAGTCCAACATTTATGAGTCTGTGAAGCCGGGAGGGAAAAGTTCAGGGAGGGAGGGAGGGAGGGAGGGAAGGAAGGAAGGAAGGAAGGAAGGAAGGAAGGAAGGAAGAAAGAAAGAAAGAAAGAAAGAAAGAAAGAAAGAAAGAAAGAAAGAAAGAAAGCTGAATTGCTTTCATCTCAGCCATCCTCCCAGTCAATAAAAGCAAAAGGTCATCTTTTACAAAAACAGGATGAAGTGCCGATAATAGTTGCTTTAAAAATGCTTTGTTTAAGGGGCAGAGTTATATTCAGAACCTAATTCAAAGCACAAACATGTCGATAGTTTAGCCTTATCAGAAAAATGAACTCTGTGGCTGATTATTATGTATATCATTAACACTTTACACTGCAGCTCAAAAGTTTGTGGAGGGGATAGTGACGTTTTTTCTTTCGCTAATGGTCCTTTTTTTCATTCCAGTGAATGAGTTGTGTGCTCATATAACGACTGAATCTTTTGTGGTTAACTGAAATATCCCCGCTGTTCACAAACACACACACACACACACACACAGTGTTGTGATCTCAGCCAGCGGCTGCACAGCCTCTCTTCTGGTGCCGTGTACAAGCAGACAGGTTGATAAAACATGGAGGAGCCAGTAGGAAGGAGAATAGGGGAGGTTTTTGATATTTTCTTCCTGATTGTAACATCAGCAGAAGATTTTTCCTGAAATTGTCTGACAACCAAGAAAAATGTGAAAACTGCTGTCAGAACTTTATGTACAGGGGTTTTAGTTAGCAAAGGAGTCTTGTTCTGAGATGCACAGTATGACTTCAAAACAAAGGTTTGTGTGACATGTTTTCAACATGAGTTGACTTCCAGGGGTGATTAAATTAAAATAAATTCCCCGGCACGATCAGGTGGCGCGTTTACCTGCACGTCTGCACTTGCTTCCTCAAACAAATGACACAAAAGCGGCCTGACGTCGAATAGAGCTGTCGGTTTGTTACAATCTGACTCTTGCATTAAATTCAAGCAAACACAAAAAGATGACAAAAGACTAAATCGTGCCTGGAGGCGCGTTGACTAAGCAGGGAGAAATTTAAATGCTGAAAGATGAGGATGATTATTTGAAAGCAAAATGCATTTTACTCCAGTAAAAGTCAGCCGGCATTCCCCCCGAAAAGTTGCAACTCGGTGTGTTAGATTCACACAATAAAGGAAAAGAAGTGCTTCAAACTCAGAGTTTCCTGGGGTTGGACGTCCAAAGCTCCAGCTAAACCCCAGGTCACATCTAATGATTAACAGAATGGTTCATCTTAAATCCTAAATCTTTTCTGATTTTAATGAAGTATCTACACAATGCAGTGTTTTATCTATAGCTACAAGCGAAAGGAAAAAAAACTCCTTCCAGTTGTTTTTGTGGATTTGAAATCCCATTAACGAGTTATATAGTTAGCTGGTCAAGCATCCACGCCTATGTTTGAATATCAAATTGTAGTCTCAACATGCTCCTCAGTGTGGAAAGTAGTAGTTCACAATGCCTGATGACAACTTCAGTTTTTGACAGTTTCCCAAAATCAAAATGTTCTAATTTTTTTTTGAACAACACTTCTCTGATGAGTGTCAGAGGAAAGTGTCTCTGAGGGGCGTTTTGATAGCACAAACAAGACTGCATAAGTGATAACACAAAGCACACTACTCCAGTCACTCACAATTTGCTTAAACAAGTTGCTCTTCAGTCCATATTGACAGGACAGCATCACACAGTAGCTGCAGATTTGTTGGATGGACATGGATGATGCTGGTGTCCCGTTCCACTACATCCCAAATGCTCTGTTAGATTGAGATCTGGTGTCTGTGGAGTCCATTTGAGCACAGTGAACTCACAGCTATGTTCTAGTTTGATGTGATTTGAGCTTTGGGACATCTTTTTGTGACATTTTGGTCATCCATGGCACTCAGGTAGGCTGCGGTGTTTAAACAACGCTCAGTTGGTACTAAGACACTGAAAATGTGCCAACGCCAGCAGCAGCAGCAGCAGACGTGTGGGCTTCTGCCACACATCTGGGCTTCTGCCACACATCTGCTTCAGAGATGCTCTTCTGCTTCTTTTTTGTAGCAGCCCTGTAATGTGAACTGTTTCTAATCAATTTCACTTTTAGATATAAGATATTGTATAAGACAAAAAGAAAACGTGTCTATAAGACAAAAGCAAATTATGCTTTGTTTTTACAATGCAGTGTATTTTATTTTTACTTGTGTGTAATCTTTGTTGTTTGTGAGGTAATAGCTTTGATTTCTTGCATATTTGGCCCATTTATAAAGTGCAGTGGAGAGAAATGACTGCTGAAATGATCAACACTCACTGAATCGACTAAAAACTGACAATACGCTGCTTTTTCCTGCAGACTCACAACCAGTGAAGTACAAGTTTCGTTGTTAACAACAGATTGTCTTTTATGCACTTGACAGACCTCCTTCCACCCTTGTGCCCTTCATACTATTTGTTGAAATTAGCCAAACAGGGTGCACTCAGAAGCTACTGTGACGCAGATAGATGTGGGATCCGTTTTGGCTTCTTTTTCTTGTTGGATGTGTGAACATTTTCAGTGACATCGCTGTCCACTGACTCACTGTTGCAAGGCTATTTACGTTTTTTTTTTTTTTGATTAGATAGAAGATTTTTTTCAAATGCCACTCCGGTCTGGTGGTAAAGAGAAGATGTGCTGCATCTCCTTTCCGAAGATGTGAATTTCACTCTTGTTACTGACAAAATTTGGGATTCATTTTTAAGTGGAAATGTGAAGAAAAAAGATAGATATAGGGCTCTCTGCTGCTCTAAACAAACTAATGACTAAAGCTGACTATGAAATGCACACAAGTAGTTTCCAACAGTGGTGAACACGGCTACAGAAAGATGTTTGACCTTTATTTTGATAACGTGGGTTTTCAGACCACACATGCCTGCTTGAATACTGCACTCAGATGATTCATGCATGCCTGATTTTTTCTCTTTTTTTTTATTTTTTTTTTTAATTTTTTTAACCACTCGCCTCATACACCTGTGCAGGCTGGCTCCACACTGCTGCAGTCTCTCACCTCTCCTCACTCCGTGCGCCAGCAACACCTGGAGCAGCAACCTGGAGAGTGAGATCAAACCGGCTGAGTGGATGGTGGATGTGGAGTGGGCGGGTGGGGGGGAGTGAAGATGGGAGAGTTTGGCCCCTGCGCCTTTAAGACTGCATGTGGTCCACATCTCGCTGCTCCCATGGCAGGCTCTGTAGGTGCACGCGTTCAAAGTTTGACTGGGGAATAGAAGGAAGAGCGGAGACCGCAGCAGCGGCGGCGGCAGCAGCAGCATCGCCCCGTCGGGAAACAGAAACACACACAACTGAACATCTGAGAAGAGAGAGAGGAGAGAGGAAGGACCGCAGCTCGCCGGGGAGTGTCCGACTCTGGCGAAAAGAACAAAGGCACAGATGACTGAGCGGATTTTCGCTTTCTAAATGGAAAACACAAGGAGGTTCATTTAAGTCAGTGTTCGCTAAACGGAGGGACTCCCCCCGGCCCCCCCGGCGGCTGCAGCCTCCCCCCTCTCAGCCATGCCGCTTGTATTCCGCACACTGTTGTTCGGCTTTGTAACGCTGCTGGTTGTGCTTTTGATAATTGATGATATTGCAGAAGTGGAGGAAGAAACTGCGTAAGTATCCCGCCGTGATTTATCCACGCAGTGTGTGTGTGTGAGAGAGAGAGAGAGGGAGAGAGAGATGATGCCCATTGTTTTCTTACCCAGCAGGTTATTTCCTTCAGGCTTTCTCAGAAGATTTGAGGTGCGATGTGTGATGTGAGGGGAGGGAAAAGGGGGCTGACTGAGTGGAATAAACGAGTTTATTTGAATTGAAATGAAGTTCGGAGTTTGGGGTGCCGGAGTGTGCGCGGTTTGTTTTCTACATTTGTAACACTTGGGTGCAGCAGGAGCAGCTGTTCCTACAGCAGCCCGCCTGCCTGGGTCTCCAAGGATTAGGCTATTTGTCTTGCAGCAGGCTGCATGCGGGATAGGATACATTTACACTATAAGAGAGAGGGGGGAGAGAAAGAGAGAAGGGGGAAGCGTGTGTGTGTGTAAGAGAGACAAAAGAGGTGAAGGGGCAAAAGAACGACAAAAAAAAAGAGGGTCTCCTCTATATATTTTTCTTCTTTTCATTTTCAGAGTTTGAAATGTTGCCGCAGGATTCCTCCAAGTCACACACACTCGCGTTTGACCTGCAAGAAGATCCATTCTTAATTTAGCATGAAAAACATGCAGGCTCCAAAAAAGAAAAGAAAAAAAATCCAACCAGACCTCAGCAGGGCTACATCCTCCTCTGCTTCTCTTCATAATCATCACATAGATGGAAAGACGCCCTGTTACCTGAATGGCAAAAAAAACAACAACCAAAAAACAAAAACTCACTTTTAAAGAAAAAAATTCTACGTCTCTATGCAGCTTTTGTCTTCTTGCATTTCTCCCCTTTGAGCAAGAACATTTTGTTTTGAAAGCAATTACCCGGCTGTGGCTCACATTGTAATGAGGTCACATTGGTTTGTGATTTGCCGTGGGAGAAGCACCAGAACCAATTCCACTCCTGCATAAAATTCAAGCTAATATGATTATAACAATATATTTAAAGGCCACCGGGATTGTAAAACGAATGAAAGGAGCCCCGGTAGCACTCGGGTGTTTCACTTCTTCACTCCTATATTTAAAGTCGTCTATTAGATGTGACCAAGGTCACGATTGCAAAATTGCTCGAAGCTTAACAATCTGAATGCATATACAATATATTTACTGTAAATGCATTTTGCCTGATGCATTCAACACCCTTGTAAAGCGATCGCTCTTTTCCCCCATGAAAAGAAAATCTTCTTTTCAGTATAATGGGGCCCCATTAAGGCCACATTTCCCCTCATTACATCAGCAAATGGGTCCACAGTGAAGTTCTCTAAAAATGCCTTGATGTGTGCTTTTCACCTTTATTCTGTCTTGTAAGAGTGATGTACAGTACGCCTGCTGCTGGATACAGCTCAGTGTAAGAATCTACACCGCAGTAAGTGATTCATAATTCAATCTAAACCTTTTTTTTCCCCACTCAGAAATATTGGACATTCAAAGAAGATGAACTTGCACCAGCTCATCCCCAAACCACACAGGTCTGAAATCTTATCTACTCAGACACACAAACACACACACACACACACACAGCTGTAGAACACCAGTGGGTAGCTAAATGGCCTCTCTGGGTAATTTTTGCTTGCTATTGGTCACTGAATCCTTTACAGCTATGATGCCACAGTGAGTCAGTCACAGTGAGCGTCTCATTAGGTTTTTTTAAGGCGAGACACAGCCGCTATAAATACCCATCAAAGTATGTGTGTGTATATGCGTTTGTGTGGTATCCATGTGACAATGCAAACATCTGCCATGTGAGCAAAGCTGGATTTAACTTTAAGGAAACTGCAGTATTTCGCCGAACATCACTTTACTGCATTTAAGTTATTGTTCATGTCAAGGAGGTCCTTTTTCGGAGCAGTGGCTGAATGAATCAGATACTTAAGTAGAAGTAATATTATCTGTACCTACATATAGCCTGCCGCAAGTCCTTAAGAATCTGAAGCAGTATTTGTGCTCACCAGACACTTCATTAGGTACACCTTTTCACCGTTGGGTTGGACCACTCTCTTGCTTCAAGAGTGACTTAATTCTTTGTAGCACAGATTCAGCAACATGCTGGAAACATTCCTCAGAGATTTTGGTCCATATTGACTTGATAACATCACATATTAGCTGGAGACTTGTCAGCTGCACATCAGTGTTGCGAATCTCCTGTCCCTGCAAAGGTGCTGTATTGGATTGGGATCGAGTGACTGTGGGGGCTGTGTGTATACAGTGAACTCACTGACATGTTCACAAAAACAGTTTGAGATGATTTGAGCTTTGTGATGTGTTGCGTTATCTTGCTGGAAGCAGTCATCAACAGATGGGTCCAGTGTGGTTGTAAAGGGATTCACATGCTTACCAACAATACTCAGCCATTAGTATTGCTGGTACATATTAGTCCAGAGTATGCCAAGATATAATCCCCCACACCATTTCGCCACCGCTGGCTGCCTGAACCATTGATACAAGGCAGGATTGATCCATGTTTTCGTGTTGTTCGTGCCAAATTCTGACCCTACCGTCCAAATGTCGAAGCAAATCAAGACTCATCACACCAGACAACGTTTTCCCAGTTTTCTGTTGAGTCCATGTGAACTGTAGCTTCAGTTTTCTGTTATTGGCTGAGAGGAGTCCCACAGGTGTGGTCTTCTGCTGCCATAGCACATCAATTTTAAGGTTCAACATGTTTAATATTCAGAGATGCTCTTGTTTGTACCTTGCTTTTAGAGGTGGTGATTTGATTTACTTTTGTCAGCTGGGAGCAGAGAGGAAGGCAACAGACCATTGTCCTTTGACCTTTGACATCAACAATGCTTTTTCACTTTTTTGGGGTGGCTGTAGCTCAGGTGGCAGAGCAGGTCAGCCACTAATCAGAAGGTCGGTGGTTCGATCTCAGGCTGCCTCCTGGCTGCATGCCAAATATCCTTGGGCAAGATACTAACCCCATGTTTGCCTACTGGTGGTGGTCAGAGGGCCCAGTGGCGCCAGTGTCCGGCAGCCTCGCCTCTGCCATTGTGTGAATGACTGAATGTAGTGTAAAGCACTTTGAGGTCCTTAGGGACTAAGTAAAGCGCTATACAAATGCAGGCCATATACCATTTGGACCATTCTCTATAAACCGTAAAGGTTTTCCCATTGGTTGCATGGGAAAATCCTAGTATATCAGCAGAATCTGAAATACTCAGATCCCATCTGGCACCAACAACTATGCTTTTTTCAAAATAACTTAAATTACATTTGTTTCTCATTCTGATGTTCAGTTTGAACTTCAGCAGGGTGTCTTGTCTGGATGCCTAAATGGATACCATGTGATTGGCTGTTTAGACATTTGCATTAATGAGAAGTTGAACAGGTGTCCCTATCAAAATGGCCAGTGATAAAGCAGCCCCATCAGATGTCATGTTCCAGTTCAAATTTTCATCTTAAGTTGGACCTATCTTACTTTTCCTCATTTTCTGGGCTTACTGATGGTAGATGCTCCTATTAAAAATGGCGAAATTTTCAAATAATGGAGCCGGCATGGGAATAACTAAAAATGCCATATGTGAAAAAATTCAGGCTTCAGTGTATTAAAAAGGTTCACTTTCATATGTTATTTCCTCCTACTGGCTCTCTATTAGGTCACAAAGAGGGGATAGCCCTAATCGGCAATCTGCTGTTTAAACCTTCTGTTTGCAAGTGGCAACCAATCAGAAATAAGTTGGGTTAAAGGAAGAGGAAGTGAAACTAAATTTCACACATAGAAGATGAACCAAGGGACTGGAAAAGAGCAAAGCCGGTAATAAACAAAGCATGGAGTCATTTGTTAAATCTAGTTTTCTTGTACCGTAACTCTACCTTGGTACACTCAGATTCACATATTTTTCTTGGTTACATTCTATACAGCATCTCTGTTTTTAGTCTGTTCGGAGAAGGAAAAGCTTGACATAACAGCCTTTAGATTTAGAAATGAATGGGGCAAATTCTAACACTACATGGAGGAGATAACAGGCATAATTTTTTTGGACTGTGTGTTGGTAACACAACTTTTTCTTATCATTTAGAAAAGCTGCAGTACATGTAAACCCCACTGCTTTGACAACAGCAAGCGCGGACACATATCGTCACCGTCCAATCTACAATAACACTGCCAAACACTCGTCAAACAGCTGGACTTTCAATAAGACCCTCTCCCACCTCATCAGGTATTTTTATCACCCTCCACAATTATCTCCACAAGGTTTTACACTTCGCTGTAGACGGGCGGTCATAATTGGCGCATATTTTCTCTTTTCACAGGAAAAACATTCTGAGATTCCTCGACCCGGAGAGAGACATCTCGATTCTGAAGGGCACGCTGAAACCGGGAGATATCATCCACTATGTTTTTGATCGCCACAGTACCACAAACATCTCAGAAAATCTCTACCGTCTCTTGCCAACCGTATCCCCCATGAAAAACCAGCATTACAGGCGCTGTGCCATCGTGGGCAACTCCGGGATCCTTCTGAACAGCAGCTGTGGGCCTGAGATCGACTCTCATGACTTTGTTATCAGGTAACATGGGTGATTTAAGTCTTAGAAGCCTTTTGCTTGAAATAAATCATAAAACACAGCAGTTAAAATGGACTATAATTGAAATAGATTGGTGCATGAAGTTTTAGGCTTGTCTTATCTCCTGCACTGAGTGTATAATTCATATTAGTATGATAATCGATAGCTGGTGGCCACACGGCTGGAAATATTTTAATTGTGCATTTGAAAAAGCTGTCAAAGCTTCTCTGATGGCTTAAATTTGGGAGCCAACTGTCAAGTTGAGAGCTGTTAGATGAACGATTATACATGAAATTGACATTTTGAACAGCCTTTGCATGCAGCGGTAAGACGTTGTGCTTTTCAGAGAAACACCAGTGTTCTCCTGGGCCCTGCTCTCATTTAGCAGAGCGCGCTGTTTGCGAAGCCATCGGCCAGGTCTGTTTGTGTTTGGGTGCAAGCTCGCGAGTCCCTGAGTGGGTTATGTATCACCATTCATACCTGCCACCAGAGGTAAAGAAAAAAAAAGCCTGTCAAGGCTGTATTATATTTGGCAGATGGGGAAAAAAAAGAAAAGTGTTCTGGTTTAAATTATCTTTGGAGTTAGGCATGATCGAACAGAACCGCCCAACCTGCACACTCTCAGAAATCAGTGTTGTTAGAATTAGAGCAGCACCTCACTGCGCTGGTTGATCAATAGCTCAAAGTCTTGCACACCTTTCACGAGTGGATTCTGTTGTATGCCTATCTGTCTTGTATCTTGTGCTGCCGTGTTACCCTGATGAGAAGAGGTCATGATTTCTAGACTCCCTCAGCATCATGATAATGCCAGGCGATGGCAGTAATGGTCAGCTGAAGTCACAGAACAGGAAATATGTCATTTTGAGAAGCGGAGGAATTTGCTTCTGTGCTCACATATCCGATCGGCAGATAATGTTGCAGCTAAATATAGTTCCCTGCCCTTCGCTCAGTTCCCACAAAGTAGGTTGACAGCGTTCGGGGTACATAGATTGCTTCAGCTCATCATGCACCATCTGTTCTTTGCAGTGGGTACATTAGCTGCTGTGGACAGCGACAGCAACCATTAAGATGTAAAACACAACACCACAGAGCGGAGAACACCCACACAGATAAAAGATCCAGGGTTCATTTGCTCAAATTAATTAATTAATTAATTTAAAAAAAAATCAAATCTGTGGCAATTAAAGTTTTAACTCCAAAGCCTGCTGAAGTTTTAGCAAATTTGGCAAATGTGATTCACTTTATAATTACGGTTTAAAACATAGATTATGAAAGAGATAGCATGGCGTTGGCGGCACCTGACCAGTCACAAAAAGGGAGCAATTAAATAAACACGAGGCTTACAGAACAAAATCATTTTTGTTTAATTAAAAATTGCCTTATGAGGCTTTGATGTATTTATTTATTGAGATTCTGAATTTCTACAAGACTGCGATTTCAAGAGGTTCTGTGTTTTTATAATACCTGTACTGATTTTACTAAATCTTGCCTCTGACATATTCCCTCCATGCAACAATAATTAATAAAGACTGAAACTACAGTGGGGCAAAAAAGTATTTAGTCAGCCACCGATTGTGCAAGTTCCCCCACCTAAAATGATGACAGAGGTCAGTAATTTGCACCAGAGGTAC